CTGCAGTCTTCTTTGCCCTTCCCCAATCTTCATGATTTTGCATTTGGCAGGGTTAAACTCAAGGAGCCAGTTGCTGGACCAGGCTTGTAGCCTGTCCAGGTCTCTTTGTAGTCTTGCCTGATCCTCGTCCGATTTGATTCTTCTCATTAACTTCACATCATCTGCAAACAAGGACACTTCTGAGTCTATCCCTTCCATTATGTCATTCACATATACCAAGAACAGCACAGGTCCTAGGACTGACCCCTGTGGAACCCCACTTGTCACAGGCGCCCACTCTGACACCTCGTCACGTACCATGACTCGTTATTGCCTCCCTGTTAGGTATTCTCTGATCCATTGCAGTGCCTTTCCTGTTATTTGTGCCTGATCCTCTAGCTTTTGCAGTAACCTCTTGTAAGGAACTGTGTTGAAGGCCTTCTTGCAGTCCAAAAAAATGCAGTCGATCCACCCCTCTCTTTCTTGTCTTCTGTCACCTTGTCATAAAACTCCAGTAGGTTTGTGACACAGGATTTTCCTTCCATGAAACCATGCTGGTTGTCAATTATACACTTGTTTCTTTCCAGGTGCTCCACCACTCTCCTCCTGATGATGTTCTCATGACTTTGCATACTATACACATTAGTGATACAGGTCTGTAGTTTAGTGCCTCATGTCTGTCTCCCTTTTTAAAAATTGGGACTACATTTGCCATCTTCTATACCTCAGGGAGTTGCCCAGTTTCAGTTGATGTGTTGAAGATCTTTGTTAATGGCACACACAGTATCTCTGCTCCCTCTTTAAGGACCCACGGAGAGATGTTGTCTGGTCCCACCGCCTTTGAGGTGTCAAGTTTGCATAGCAGCTTCTTCACCTCCTCCTTGGTTATATGTACCTCATCCAGCACTTGCTGGTGTACCCCCCCCCCTGTTCTGATTTCCTGGAGTCCTACTGGTTTCCACTGTAAATACTTCTTTAAATCTCGTGTTGAGCTCCTGACATACCTCTCGGTCGTTTCTTGTGAAGTCCCCATCACCCTTCCTCAGTCTGATTACCTGGTCCTTGACTGTTGTTTTCCTCCTGATGTGGCTATACAACAGCTTTGGGTCAGACTTGACTTTCGATGCTATGTCATTTTCATATTGTTGCTGAGCCTCCCTTCTTATCTGTGCATATTCATTTCTGGCTCTTCGGCTAATCTCTTTATTTTCCTGAGTTCTCTGTCTTCTGTACCTTTTCCATTCTCTAGTACACCTAGTTTTTGCCTCCCTTCACCTTTGGGTGAACCAAGGGCTCGTTCTGTTCTTCCCATTATTTCTGTTTCCCTTGGGAACAAACCTCTCCTCTGCCTCCTTGCATTTTGTTGCCACATAGTCTATCTTTTCTTGTACTGGTTTTCCTGTCAGTTCCCTCTCCCACTGAATGTCTTGCAGGAAGTTCCTCATGCCTGAGTAGTTCCCCCTTTTGTAGTTTGGTTTTTCTCACCCTATTCCTGCTACTCTCCACTTGGAGCTCAACTATGTAGTCGAAGCACAGAACTACGTGATCACTAGCTCCCAGGGGCCTTTCATACATGATATCCTCAATGTCCGAACTACTCAAAGTGAATACAAGGTCCAGTCTTGCTGGTTTATCCTCTCCTCTCTCTCTCTGGTAGTGTGTCTAACATGTTGATGCATGAGGTTTTCCAGTACCACATCCATCATCTTGGCTCTCCATGTTTTGGGACCCCCATGGGGCTCCAGGTTTTCCCAGTCAATCTCCTTGTGATTGAAATCACCCATAACTAGTAACTTTGCTCCCCCCATGTGTGCTCTCCTGGCCACCTCAGCTAGTGTGTCGACCATTGCTCTGTTGCTCTCATCGTATTCTTCTCTTGGCTTCCTGCAGTTCTGTGGTGGGTTGTACATTACTGCAATTATCACCTTATGTCCCTCAGATTGGATTGTTCCTACTAAGTAGTCCCTTTCACCCATGCCATTCATTCCTTCCATTTTCTCAAAACCCCACTGGTTTTTAATGAGCAGTGCAACTCCTCCTCCCCCTCTCCTCCCTCTGTCTTTCCTGAGGATTTGATATCCGGATGGAAAGATTGAATCTGTTATTATTCTGGTGAGTTTTGTTTCTGCGAGTGCTATTATGTCTGGAGATGTCTCCTTGATTCTTTCATGCCACTCCTCATACTTATTTGTTATTCCATCTGCATTTGTATACCACACCTTCAACTTCTTTTCTAAGACTGTGGTCTGGGAGGTATATTGGGGTTGGGGAAGTGGGAGACCTGATAAAGAACTATGGGTGGTTGCTGTGGGGGTGGAGTTTGTAATGCAGTGGGTAGGGGCATTGGATATGGCATGGGTGTTTTGGTTTAGTGTGTTTGGTTGCACTGGGGTTGACCTGGTTGGGGGGCTTCTATAGGAAGTTGTGAGGGGGGGCTGTATTTGATCTTCTTCCTGGGTCTGGGATCTCCTGTCTGTCTCCTCCATCCCCTTTCTTTCCTCCTTTCGCCTTTGTACCATCTCTCTGTTTCTGCCTTTCTTCTTGTGTTCTGTCACGGTCGAGATCCACCTTCCTGTATGCCGGCATGTCCCTTAATCGTGCTTTCTCCTGCAGGATCCTGTTCCGAGTCGATTCTGCCTTGAAGGTCACTTTCACTGGCCGGGTTCTTTTTTTTGCAAACCCCTCTATTCTCCGAAAATTTTCCAGCTGGGTCATGTCGTCTTCTCCTATTGCTTTTATGATGCTTTCAATTACTTTTTTTTCCCCTTGTTTTCTTGCTTCATATGTTTCCCCTTCAGCTTCCTGGAGCCCATACACAAAGACTGACCTCTCCCTTTCATTCTCCCACTGCATATCCTTGTGTATCCACTCATTCAGTTTAATTTCCTCCATTGTAGCTTTTCTTTCTTCAGTTTCACTAGCTAATGTACTTGGGCTCAGTGGCCTGTCATTTTCCCTTCTTGGCTTTCCCTGGGCTCTGCTGTGGTCTGTTAGGGCCTCCACATATAGCTTAGCTCTTTCATTTACTACAGTCTCCTCTGATAGAGCTTCTACATGCAGTTTTGCTCCTTCTTTCCCTACAGTCCCCTTATTTGTGACTGAGGTAGCAGTCTCTGATGTCAATCCCAAAATGTTCTTTAGTTCTTTAGGCTGTTTCAGATTTTTCAGTTCCTCTTCTAAACTCTGTATCCTAGCCTCTGCTGCTTTGACTTGCACCTCCCACTTCCTGCTTTCCATATCTATCCTCTCTTCCATTCTCATGCTAAGTTCTTCTAGTCTTTTTTCCCATTCATGTTCCCTTTTTATGTGCGCGTGCGCATACGCACGCGCTTTTGTCTTAGTCTAAAAAAAAAAAAGGGGAGGGTTCATATATCACACTAGGCTACGCTACTCTTTTGAAGATTATAAAATTTTTTCACAATCAATTCCTTATTAATATACACTAATATATACTATATAATATTTACTGCGTACACTTGTGTTTGTATGTTTTGTATGTGTGTGTGTTTACTAGCTTGTCGTTCTTTGAAAAAGAGGGCGGTGGGTCACGTTAACACACTATTGTTGTTCTTGGTTCACCGGTACACTCCCGGCCCAGATCTTTGTTGTTCTTGGTTCACTGGTACTCTCCCGGCCCGGATCTTTGTTGTTCTTGGTTCACCGGTGCTCTCCCGGCCTGGATCTTTGCACACTAGGCTACGTTACTTTTTTGAAGATTATAGGATTATTTCTCACTCAATTCCTTATTAATATATACTAATATTTACTATAATAATAATTACTGGTGAACATGTGTGTTTGTATGTGCGTACTTGTTTACTAGGTTGTCGCTGTCAGAAAGACGGGGGGGGTCACTAGGCTACACAACTCTTCTGAAGATATTTAGATAATTTACTAAACATTATCAGGGTTATCCCTATCTATCTCCTGGCACTGAAAGTTAGGGAGAGAGTGATGGTATAGCATTCGACCAGTAGGGCGAGACACTGAGACTTTAGACACCAACCAAAAACTAACCACACATAGGCAAGTGATGTCTGCACAGTGGAGGTTCCTGGTGGTGGCTGCTATCAACTCTTCACTTTGTAACTCCTTCAGGAACTTTATCATGCATTCAAGTTATTATTTTCTTTTTCTTTTAAGACTTGGTATTCACTCTTTTTTCTTTAGTACAGTATTATGGTCATAACAAATCTGATGATATTAACTACATTCACATGCCCGAAATGCCTAGCCATGCTAAGTGTTCTAGTGGTACACTCTGTAATCACTATTTTACTACATGTAAACCACACAATAACCAAATTTCTGTAAACTCAGCATTGTAATCCTTATAGAGAATAAACTTTGAATTTGAATTGAACAGCTGGGGATTGACTAATTTTTTCTTACTTTCAGTATTTACTTAATCACTCGTTTATGACCTTATCACTACACTGCTGCTATAACCAACCAATATCTGTATTTATTAATATTTCAGATCACACTGTTAACCCAATTAACTATGTTTGGATATTTTGTGTCAACACTGGTGCCAGCAGCCTCATCAGCTGATTGCTACCCTCCCTCACTCAACATTCATTCAAATTTAAATTGTAAAATTCTTGATCTTTTCACATTATTCGCACTCTTGAAAGTTGTTACACTCTTGTAGGTATGTTCACTGATTCACTCACGTACGATGACCGCTAATAATATCTTAAGACAGCCACTAGAACGCTAAATCCTGGGAGCACTATTATGCCATACTGCTTCGCGCGCGCGGGTGTGTGTGTGTGTGTGTGTGTGTGTGTGTGTGTGTAGGAATTCTAATTAAAATTAATTTTGAGAGGTGAATGTTGCAGTTTGGAGGGTTATTTGAATTATGGTATCCATTCATTTCTGGAGAGAAAGCTAGAGAATGAATGATGGTAAATGATTTTTCTCCTTAATTACACTGCCTTTCAAATTGCATTACCTGTATCACTGAAACTATAAAAAAAATTTCAAGCTTTAATTAAGATCTATTTGTTTTGTGTTAGCTTCACAAGCAGCTCTTCCCACAAACCAGTGATGGTTAATGGCCCAAGTGTGAAGGCGTTGGTGACTAACAGTGCTAATGGATCCTCCCCAACTCTCGGCCATGAAGCATCTAGCCCTGATTCCTCGGCCTTCATGGAGGAAACTAGTGGAGGCTTTGTATCAAGCAATGGCTATATGCCATCTTCAGCTGCTGTACTGAAAAATGTCACAAATGAGAGGGGATCTCACTTTACAGCTGTTTTAAAGTAAGTAGAATTGTAATATTGCATTGTTAATTTTTAATGAAATGTGATGTAATAATAATATCTCTTTACTACAAGTACATGTACATGGTATATGGGCATAGCTGACATCAATGACATATTACTACATAGAAAGCCCCTTGTTATGCTGAGCATTTCAGGAAAATTAGGTCAGTGTTCCAGGATGCAACCCACACTAGGTACCCATTTTACTGATGGGTGAACATAGACTGCAGGTGTAAAGAAACATGCCCAGTGTTTACCCTGCCTGTTTATTATTGGATTAATTAAGAATCCAGGTAAAGATAATTTTTTTCAGTTTATTTAATAGTTTCCTGGCTTAACCCTTTGACTGTTTCGGCTGTATATATACGTCTTACACGCCACTGTTTCGGACGTATTTATACGAGTAAATTCTAGCGGCTTCAAATCAAGCGGGAGAAAGCTGGTAGGCCTACATGAGAGAGAATGGGTCTCGGTGGTGGGTGTGCACCCTGTGAAAAAAATCTGGGACTCAATGGTGCATTGTGGGAAAGCCATCTTGGTAGTCCATTTTCACCATGCCTTCCGGTAAGAAGTACCTCACTCCTCGGCGTATTGGAGGTCTACTGTTCCCAAGTGATAGTTCTAACAGTGATGGAAGTGCCAGTGAAAGTGAATTTCATGGTTTTGGAGAGGGTGTGACCGAAAACAGTGCCAAGGATTACGTAATTAGTGATGAAAACCCTGATGACCCACAACCGTCCACCTCTGGTGCTGGCACATCTCATTCATGTTCACCTGTACCAGGATGAAAATGGAAACTATTTCCCCATTTACAGGACTCAGATCTGAGCAGTGAAAGTGATAATGATAGTGATTTCAAAGTTATTGACAGCAGCTCAAGTAGCGACAGTGAGGGGGAATATTCGCCAGTGAAACGGCAGTATGTTTGACGCAGCATGTGTTCTGGTAGTGTGCCTTATGCCCTTCCAAGGCAAAGGAGTAAATCTGGGAGTACATCCAGTGGCCCTACACCACGATCTGACAGTGCAGATGACGATATTGTTACAATGGGGATGTGTAATGTGCGTGGGGAAGAAGGTGATGGTGGTGATGTTGGCGGTGGCACGAGTCATGTGGCACCAGCAGCGAGCCACGCTACTACTGACACTGCTGACTCTGCACAAACAACCAGCCTCACCCAACCCCACACTCCCACAACAACCACAACCACAACCTGCACAACCACAACCACGTTTCAGTATCCAGAACCCACCAGCAGTCCACATCTGGGATTGGCAGCAAGGTGACTATTTTATTCCCAATCCCCATAACTTTGACGAAACACAAAGTGGGATACAGCCATTGTGTACACTTGGGAACAGTACTACTGAACTAGAATGCTTTCAGTTATTCTTTGATGAACCCCTGATGGACATTATTGTCAGGGAAACCAACACATACTATGAGTACACCATGGAAAAAACAATTCTTTCACCAAGATCATGGCTACACCAGTGGAAGGACACAACTGTGGTAGAGATGTACCTGTTCTTTGCCACAATAATGCTTATGCCACATGTGTATAAGCACACTGTCACCACATACTGGTCAACAGAATGCCTGATCTCATCCCCAGGTTTTAGTGACATAGGAGTAAATAATTTTTTGATACCGTTACGTATTTTACACTTTTCAGACAAAACAAGGCCTGACAGAACCGACAGGTTATACAAAATGAGAAATGTGTTTATGTACCTGAAACAAAAGTGTTGCATGTATTTTTATCCCTTCAGGAAGCTTGTTATTGACGAGTCTTTGATTTTATTCAAAGGAAAACTCTCATTCAGGCAGTACATACCAAGCAAGAGGAAATGCTTTGGTATAAAGTTATTTGTACTGTGTGATTGCAAAAGTGGTCTCGTTTTGAATATCATTGTGTACACTGGCATTAATACATTGAGAGATACCAGGAAGTTATTGGGTATCTCTGGTGATGTGGTTCGAACAATGATGGAACCATACCTTGGTAAGGGGCATATATTATATACTGATAACTGGTACACAAGCCCCATACTCAGTGTATATTTGAACAATGCACCTTACTTTGATCTCACGGGCCACATAAATTACTTAGAAAAGAAAAATATTGGAAAATACAAGAAACCTTCGAATTGGAGTAAATAAAAGAATACTGGGTGGGTGGCATTCGCCGCTGTTGCCATACACCACTCATTTTCTGCCAACTTTGCACCTCTATATCTCAGTAAGTACTGATGGCAAAAAAATTTTTAGGCTTAAAACACTCAGTAAAATAATCCTAACATTTTGGTAAGAACAAATTTTTTTTTTTCGAATATTTTGCGACATAGAATGACAGTTTCAGAAAGGGGCCTGCTGAAAGTCAAAGGGTTAAAACAACTTAAAACAACATTTGAATTTTAATGTCTGTATATTGCTAATTAGATGGCTATTGAATGAATAGTTGAGAAATGACTGGTGTGTCAAAATAGTAGAGAGGAATGATAATAGCAGGGACAAGGAACTGTGTGATCAATAATTTTTCCCGCACCATAGTAGCAGCTTAGGCCAACTAATATATAAAATTTTTGCTACATTAATTTTTTTTACTGTTAACATATAGTATGGCTCCTAGGTAGTAGGTTGGTAAACAGCAACCGCCCAGGGAGGTACTACCATCCTGCCAAGTGAGTGTAAAATGAAAGCCTGTAATTGTTTTACACGATGGTAGGATTGCTGGTGTCCTTTTTTTCTGTCTCATGAACATGCAAGATTTCAGGTACGTCTTGTTACTTCTACTTACACTTAGGTCACATTGCACATACATATACAAGCATATATACACACACCCCTCTGGGTTTTCTTCTATTTTCTTTCTAGTTCTTATTCTTGTTTATTTCCTCTTATCTCCATGGGGAAGTGGAACAGAATTCTTCCTCCATAAGCCATGCGTGTTGTAAGAGGCAACTAAAATGCCGGGAGCAAGGGGCTAGTAACCCCTTCTCCCGTATAAATTACTAAATTTAAAAAGAGAAACTTTCATTTTTCTTTTTGGGCCACCCTGTCTTGGTGGGATACGGCCGGTTTGTTGAAAAAAAAAAAAAATATAGTATGGCTCCTAGGTAGTAGGTTGGTAAACAGCAACCGCCCAGGGAGGTACTACCGTCCTGCCAAGTGAGTGTACAACGAAAACCTGTAATTGTTTTACATGATGGTAGGATTGCTGGTGTCTTTTGTCTGTCTCATAAACATGCAAGATTTCAGGTATGTCTTGCTACTTCTACTTGCACTTAGGTCACACTACACATGTACAAGCATATATATATACACACCCCTCTGGATATTCTTCTATTTTCTTTCTAGTTTTTGTTCTTGTTTATTTCCTCTTATCTCCATGGGGAAGTGGAACAGAATTCTTCCTCCGTAAGCCATGCGTGTTGTAAGAGGCGACTAAAATGCCGGGAGCAAGGGGCTAGTAACCCCTTCTCCCGTATAAATTACTAAATTTAAGAGAAACTTTCGTTTTTCTTTTTGGGCCACCCTGCCTTGGTGGGATACGGCCGGTGTGTTGAAAGAAAGAAGATATAGTATGGCTACATGTTAATTTTTTTTTATCATTTCACAGACCACAGCCAAGTCCACAGTCATCGGTGACCTCTGGAATCAGCGTTGGTAGCTCCAGTGTGAGTATCTCGGCAGACTCAACCCTGACCAGTGGCTCGCAATATAATTGCAACAATAAAGACAATACTTATAACCACCACCACCAGCTGTCATCAACATCCAACAGTCCAGACCCTGACGACCAGAAAAACTACGACCACCATAGCTATGAGAACTTTAGTTTCGACCTTAATAGCTATGACAACTCGACCATATGTGACAGTCCTGAGCCCTACTATAGTAACTGCAGCTCACATTATGACCAACAAAAGCCTGGACTCCCTACTAGCCTTTACCCAAGCCTTGAGGCCATGACTCAACATTCTACTAACATTCTCATTCACTATCATGATCTTGACACTATAACACCATCTTCACAACCTTCAAGTAACCAACCTATTCCTCTCCCTAGAAGCTCTATTATATCTTCAGTTCATAATAATGAGTCTTCTACTCATATTGTTCAGTCTTATGGCCCTTCCCTCACAAGTAGTAAAAAGGGTACTAACTCTTTACAGAGATCTGGATACACATCAGCTGCTCCAAAACCAGGATTTCACTCGAGTCCCAGTTCTGTTGGACTTACACCTCTTTCTTCATCTGTGAATGCCTCACCTGCTCCTTCAGCCTCTTCTGTTACTGGTTGTGGAAGCTCAACTTTACCTCGGCCTTCAAGCAACCAACCTCTTACTAGAACAACTGGCTCTCAGACCAATACCTTACGTACCAAAGCCTCGCAAACTAACCATTCTAACCCGGGTCCCAGGGCTTCTAGCAAACCCCAATCCTCCAATAAAGCAGCAGAAATGAGTCAAGGCATCCAGACAACAAATGGGACTAACCTAGCCCATTCTGCCCTGCACTGGAAGGTGTATAACTGGGATGCATACAGGGAAGAGGCAGACTGGTCTAATTCACTAGGGCGCAGCATCAAAGGTCAAGGACCAGAGGGTAATCAAGTAAGTAACTGCCACTTACACACTACTTTCTCCTTGCCAACTGCAGTGCTTCAAAGCACTTTCTCTTCAGTCATCCTGCAGGTATAAATTGTTCTTGAATTGTAGAAGCACTCTGCTATATTAGCAACACCTATTCCAGCAATCTGCACCTGTCAGTAATTGTCGCATGCCTTACCTTTAAGATATCTGCACCACAAGATGTGCTTTAGTTCCTCTTACCTCTTCCTCCATAAGTTCAGATATTTCAGTGGTATTTTCTGAAGTATTTACATTGGAATTATTTACAAGCAAAAATTATCTTTTTGATAGTATATCTATCAGTGCTGCTGTACAATGGCAGACTAGTAATGTATAGCACTATCTACTTAAATATATTGCGATCTTTTGGACTGTTTTTTCATATATGTACAGTATCAACATGTAAATTATTTTTTTGAATCTTCTTTCTACCATGCTTCCCATCTGTCTCTACAGCATATTTGTTAGATTCCTTGAAAATTGTGTTTGAGTGACAAAGAACTTTAGATAAGATTAAAACAGCTCAGATACAGTATTTGGACAGGACAGTTCATTGCACTTTTAATGCACCTGAAGTCACTCACCCATGTGACTAATTATGTGAATTAGTCACATGCACTTATCTACATTAAATTCTATAATCTATCACTTCATATATCCAGGTCATCCTTTAGGATTAGTCATTTTTATTACTTTCATAATATTTTGTCATCATCAGCAAACATGTTCGTATAGGTTATTTCTTTTGACAATATGTTCACACAAATTAGAAATATTAATGGAGCTAGTACTGAATCTTGCTGGTGACATGAACCCATGAGGACTTTTACCTCGTATGACTTTGTATTTTTCTTTCAGACGTAAAATCTCAAATTCGCTGTAGTAGTTTACCTTTTATTCCTGTGTTTATTTCCAGATTAGTCTTTTGGGAAGAGCTCTATTAAAACTTTCATGAAATTTAATTAAGTGGAATTTGTTCATTTGTCAAATCTATATCTATCTGTCTGTCTACACACATACAGAGTAATTTGCTTATTAAAAGCCTAACTTCTTTAGTTAGTAGAATTTTGCTCTCTCTATTTCACCCACTGTCCTCTAATGTAGTGTAAACTTGATATAAGTCTTAATAAATGACTATCAATGAATAAACAGAATGGATGGGGGCTTAAACCATGGCCCTGGTATGTAACAGGTCCAGTGCTTTACCACTGAGCTATGAGGCTTTCAGTAGGAAGAATTCAGAAGCAGAATTTCTGTCCATGTTTCTTTATAGACCATATAGCTTTAAGGGGTGTGAGAATAGATTGACCACAAAGTTTCTGGGGCTGTGGGAAGAGACAGTAGGGTCACAGATGGTGCCACTGATGGAAACAAGAAATCTTCCTACTGAAAGCCTCATAGCTCAGTGGCAAAGTGCTGGACCTACTATGTGCCAAGGTTATGGTTTTAACTCCTGTCTATTCTTTTATTAGTAATTTATGTAATATGTTTACTAGTTCACTTATAGTGAAATCCAAAAGATTCCCCAAGGAAGATAACTTGGTTTGTCTGCACTTTCTTTCAAGACCCATGATGTTATTTTATCTGATCCTCTTACCTTTTTCTTCTCAGTATCCAGTAGTAGTAGTAGTAGTTTTTTTTTCCTCTTTTGACTGAGGATTTTTTCTGCAATTTCCAAGGCATTCCTTCTTGTAAGCATTCCCTGGGACTTTATATTCAAAATCTCTCACATTTCCTCCACCTGTTAAGTGTAATAATCCTAACTCATTTTGGAATATACAGGTCAGCCATCACTAATCAGGCAATAATCCGGTTCCCAGTACTCCGGCACTAATTTCAGTTAGCATAATTTCAAATTTCTTGGGTCGCCACACCAACCTGGCACTACTGTTTGGTGGCACTACTTGCTGCATAAGTCATTCCAGTTGTTTTTTCTCCATTTATTGTTATAACCTGCTTGCTTTTAGCCCTAGCCATGGTTCCAACGAATAAAAGAAATACTTCTTGTTGTGTAAAGCACATACACAGTACATTGTCCATAAAAGATGAGGTGGCTTTGAAGCCACTGCCAGTCACCATGAGCTCAGCTCACTCAGATAAGCTGTGACGGATAAATTTTGGCCTGTATGTGAGAGAATAGGTTTGTGTAGTAAGTGTGCACTATATAAAAAAAAATCCTGCAGCACACTGTGCATAATGAGAATAAACTGTGACAGTGTTTATTTTATAAAACACCGACTTTGTGGTGTATTTTTTATTGGTTTTTATGGTTGTATTCTCATTTTTTGGTCTCATTTCATACAATGGAAGATATTACAGAAATAGATATGATTTTCATTGGTTTTACGATGAAAAATACCTTGATATTGAGTTCAAAGCAGCGGAAATGTCCGATTTTTTGCCAATGTTCAAGAGTGAACAAATGACGTCGCCTTCCAATGTGTGTCCAACTGGCCAGTCTAATATGCAGTCATGAATAGGTTGACATTATTTATACTATTATTAGAATAATGCAGTAGTCTGCACACCAGTATATCTTCTATTTTTTGTGTGAATAGAAATTCAAAATGGAAAGCATATGTAATATAAGAGGGGCTTGGAGACATGACTAATGAACAGAGAAACTGTTATGTTAGTGCCAGGAATGTCTGCATTGTTTATTTTGGACCCTGTTTTGAAATTGGCATCTCTTGAAATTTGTGTGAAATTGTCTATATTACCAATTTCTGACTACTTTATTGGGTAATTAAAATAGGTAAATGGGTGGTTTCTTGTACTCAGTCGACAGAATGGAAGGAATACTTGTGAAATAGCTATGAGTTTGGCAGACTGGAATAATGGAATGGGCCAAAAATAGGGCATAAAGTGGGTGAAATCGCCGATGCGTAAATATCGCTGTTGGGCTAAGTGTATTCTAACATAACCACTCTGTAATCCGGCAAAATAACTAATCCGTCACCCTACAGGTTCCAGTGATGCCAGATTAGTAATGGTCAACCTGTATCTTGAGATAACATAATGAAGTTAATAAGTTACCATGCATATAATTAATTACATTACAGACATTGGTTTAGTCTTGTTCTGTCTTCATGAAAGATGGTAAATAACTGGTTTTATTTCATGGCTTGTTAGCGGTGTAGTGTAACATCAATAAAAAATTTATTTTGGCAAAGACAGAATTTGCTAGTCTAGCATATTTTATTGTGGGAGCATACCTTTGGATCTCTTGCCAGGAAATGTTTCATATAAAATAGTAGGAATATTCCAAAATTGAACATTGCTTCAAAAAAATGATCTCTTGCCAAGAGATGTTTCATATAAAATAGTAGGAATGCTCCAAAATTGAACATTAGCTTCAAAAAAAAAAATCTGAATTTATTAGTCAGATTTATGTTGACAGTAATTGGCAGCTAGTTGGATATCAGTTTGTGCTTACCCTTGGAATTTCTTCATGACACTTCCCTTCATTTTAGCAAGATCACAGTCACTGTAGCTTTTTTAATATATGTATTACTGTAAGTGTAAATTGTTTAAAAAGTTTTCATTAAAAAATCATATTTATATGGAATCTCCATGGGGAAGTGGAACAGAATTCTTCCTCCGTAAGCCATGCATGTCGTAAGAGGCAACTAAAATGCTGGGAGCAATGGGGCTAGTAACCCCTTCTCCTGTATACATTACTAAATTTAAAAAGAGAAACTTTTGTTTTTCTTTTTAGGTCCTCCTGCCTTGGTGGGATATGGCCAGTTCATTGAAGAAAAAAAAAATATACTGAAATAAAAACAATCTTCCTTGCATTTCTTGATATTAAAATTTATAATGTTTTGCTATAATCAAAACATTTCAGCTGAAAAATTAATGTAATAAAAATTATTGCCTTAGCAAATCACGTGATTGTGATCTATGCATCAAACACTATTCCTTGATAATTTTTCTACCCCTCAGGAAGTTAATGATTTTATTTACATACTAGATCAACCAACTTTAAAATTAGTGGCATTCCTTTTTACTACATAACCAAACTACTTAGTTAATACCTTGACACAATTTCCCTTTATTGCAGTCTTTACTTAAGACAAGTTGACCTTTTGACAGCCTTTTCAGTGTATTTATTTTAATGCATTTAAAAATCTGGCCAGGAGAGCTAATGAGCAGCTGTTTATTTTCTGGAATATATAATAAAAACCTTGGCTGTTTGCATATTGGAGAAAAATACATTTCAATTTTTGTTTTAATAAACTAATATTAGAACCTTAAAATAATTTTCTAAGGTTTATGAATAAGATGAGACTGTGCATTGTTTACTTTTGATCTGATGTGTTTATAATAGCTAGATCATGATCACAATAGATATTTTAAGCCTGCCCAAGAGTGTGTAGCAACCTCTTTTTTTTTTATTTATTTATTTATTTTTTTTTGCATGAATTGCTGATAGTATTTAGGGTGGCTTCACTGACATATATATAATGTCAGTTAACTTGTTGACAAGATTGGGTGGGATCAGCTTCACTATCCTTGGCCACAGACAGTGTAAATACATGACCTATGTGACCATTGACCTACCTCCTACAGCTGCTTCCTGTCAATATCCTGTGACCCCCAGCCACTTGCCCACAGTATTGCAATTACCCCTTATTCTTTGTGCACCTCACTTTAGCTTCACCCATAGCACCTGCATGTTCCTTACTTATCAGCATCTTAGTTATATGTTTCATATAACTTGAAGCTTGATAGAAAGGATAACTAAATGGGGAAAAATCCTGTTATAGTACAGTATGTACTGAATTTTTCCCTGTTGCATAATGTATACACAATACCTTGAGGCTGCCTTATCTTTAATATTTGAGTCTCCCCGAAGAAATGTGGTTGCTCCAGATAAGGTAAGCAAAGAGCTGTGGGCGGGAATTGGCATTGGGCAGTGATTGAGGGAAGTATTATTGTTCACAGCACATCGGGGGTGTGGGCGGGCATGCGCGGAGGGGCAGTGCAGGCAGCTTGGAGCTCATCCTCGGGCCTCTCATACAAAGTGCCCTTCAGTAAGTATCAGGTTAGGAAGGTGTTGCTTGGACAGATAACTTTTCTCTCAAGTGCTCCCAGATCAGTAAAATCTGTAGATTTGCTTAACCATAACATTTTAATTTTTTCAGGCTCTGAATTATTACTAACAATTAACTTCTGTGGTGAGCAAAACTGATTCCTGGGACATACAGTATAATGGTATTAATATTAATTTTATTGGCTAGAAGTTCAAGAGCATAACTATTTCTAGTGTCAGAAAAATGCCTCATTCATTTTACATAGGCTAATATTATATATATACAGTGGACCCCCGCTTAACGATCACCTCCAAATGCGACCAATTATGTAAGTGTATTTATGTAAGTGCGTTTGTACGTGTATGTTTGGGGGTCTGAAATGGACTAATCTACTTCACAATATTCCTTATGGGAAAAAATTCGGTCAGTACTGGCACCTGAACATACTACTGGAATGAAAAAAGTTCGTTAACCGGGGGTCCACTGTATGTATGTATGTGTGTGTATTTTATATATATATATATATATATATATATATATATATATATATATATTTATATATATATATATATATATATATATAAAAAATTTTTTTTTTTTTTTTTTTTTTTTAAAAAGGGCGGTGTCCCCCACCGAGGCAGGGGGGACCCAAGAAAAAGAAAGAAAATCCCCAAAAGAAAATACTTTCATCAATCATTCAACACTTTCACCACACTCAACATTATCACTGCTTTTGCAGAGGTGCTCAGATATAACAGTTTAGAAGCATATACGTATAGAGATACACAACATATCCCTCCAAACTGCCAATATCCCAAACCCTCCTTTAAATTTTGCAGGATTGTACTTCCCATTTCCAGGACTCAAGTCCGACTATATGAAAAATAACCCGGTTTCCCTGAATCCCTTCACTAAATATTACCCTGCTCACACTCCAACAGATCGTCAGGTCCCAAGTATCATTCGTCTCCATTCACTCCTATCTACACGCTCAGGCACGCTTGCTGGAAGTCCAAACCCCTCACCCACAAAACCCCCTTACCCCCTCTTTCCAACCCTTTCGAGGACGACCCTACCCCTTCTTTCCTTCCCTATAGATTTATATGCTTTCCATGTCATTCTACTTTGATCCATTCTCTCTAAATGACCAAACCACCTCAACAACCCCTCTTCTGCCCTCTGACTAATGCTTTTATTAACTCCACACCTTCTCCTAATTTCCACACTCCGAAATTTTCTGCATAATATTACAAACCCCACATTGCCCTTAGACAGGACATCTCCACTGCCTCCACCGTTCCTCGCTGCTGCATTTACCACCCCAAACTTCACATCCATATAAGGGGTTGGTACTACTATACTTTCATACATTCCCTTCTTTGCCTCCATAGATAACGTTTTTTGACTCCACATATACCTCAACGCACCACTCACCTTTTTTCCCTCATCAATTCTATGATTAACCTCATCCTTCATAAATCCATCCGCCGACACGTCAACTCCTAAGTATCTGAAAACATTCACTTCTTCCATATCCTCCTCCCCAATTTGATATCCAATTTTTCTTATCTAAATCATTTGATACCTCATCACCTTACTCTTTTCTATGTTCACTTTCAACTTTCTACCTTTACACACATTCTCAAACTCATCCACTAACCTTTGCAATTTTTCTTTAGAATCTCCCATAAGCACAGTATATCAGCAAAAAGTAACTGTGTCAATTCCCATTTTGAATTTGATTCCCCATAATTTAATCCCACCCCTCTCCCGAACACCCTAGCATTTATTCTTTTACAAACCCCCTCTATAAAAAAATTAAACAACCATGGTGACATTACACATCCTGTCTAAGACCTACTTTTACCGGGAAGTATTCTCCCTCTCTTCTACACACCCTAACCTGAGCCTCACTATCCTCATAAAAGCTCTTTCGCATTTTGTTAACTTACCACCTATTCCATATACTTGCAACATCTGCCACATTGCTCCTCTATCCACCTATCATATGCCTTTCTAAATCCATAAATGCAATAAAAACTTCCTACCTTTATCTAAAAACTGTTCACATATATGCTTCAATGTAAACCTTGATCTACACATCCCCCACCCACTCTGAAACCTCCTTGCTCGTCCGCAATTCTACATTCTGTCTTACCTCAATTCTTCAATTAAACCCTACCGTATACTTTCCTGGTTTACTCAGTAAACTTATTCCTCTATAATTTTTACAACTCTT